AAAATGAACATGACCAAAGTTGTAGATTCTCTCGGCGATTAAAAAAAACAAACAAACAAAAAAAACAAGACCAGGTTTTTTTGTTGTTGTTGAGGTTTTCATTTATTTATTTACCAGGAGCTGTCCATTAAAATGAAAGTTACAACCGTGACACGATCACGTGGACTCGTTTTACCGAGAAATTTATCAGATGAGCCGTGAAGACGTCGGAGCCGCCTCTCTGGTTGCAGTGCGCGCTCCCGACACAGGGGGAACAGATTTTCACGGGGGAACAAATTTTCACGGGGGACAAGACTTGAAACCAGCCGTACCCTCTTCAGAGGAGCCAAACATCTGGTAAGGATGCTCCCTGGGCACCTCCCTAAGGAGGTGCTTCTGGCATGTCTGACTGGGAGGAGACCCGGGAAGACCCAGGACACGCTGGAGAGACGTAGTCTTTCGGTTGGTCTGGGAACACCTTAGAATCCTCCCAGAAGAGCTGGAAGAGGTGGCTGTGGAAAGAGATGTCTGGACCTCCCTGCTCAAGATGCTGCCCCTGTAACCAGTTCCTTTCTGTGTTGGGCTGGTTATTGTAAGGATTAGGCCGTGACACGGTTTATCTTGGGCATGGTTGATTCCTCCGTTTATTCTGACAAGAATAACAAATAAAAATCAACCATGTTACAGGCTGTCCGCTCCAGTCCAACAGAAGTATATAACAAATATCAATTCCTGCTTTTTACAATCGTAAGTTCACTTAAATATTTACATTACTGGATTTATATATTACAATGGTGATGATAACAAATGCACTTAATAAATAAATAGGATGTGTTTAGATGAAAAATAATGAACACCCACCTCTCCCATAGGACAGCTGTACAAAAGGGGAGAGGCGCAAACGATTTCACGAAAACAATATCACAGAAGAAGAAATAAGGAGGAGGGGCTCCTGATCTGAAAGTCACATGCTTATATCAATAACAGTGATTTTTAAAAGTGTTTACAGTCATGTATAAGAACAATCTGAATAACGAAAGACATTTTGTGTAATTATGACAAAATACAAATACAACCTGGTTACACCCCCGTGATCTGACTTCAGAACAAATGGAAGAGGATGGATGGATGGATTATGGATGGATGTTTGGATGGATGATGGATGGATTGATGGATGGATGTTTGGATGGATTGATGGATGGATGGTGGATGAATGGATGGATGGATGGTGGATGGATGATGAATGGATGGTGGATGGATGGATGGATG